CCTGACCCCCTCCATTACCCCTTGACACCTCCAAATTATCCAAAATGGGTAATTTCACTCCCTATGAGAACCTTTCGTTTAATAGAAAGATCGCAGTCTGAATGGAAATCAAAGCGTTTCAAGGAAACGCTTTGATTTCCAGAAACTGGAATCTCTGACTCACAGTTTCCTCACTTACGATATATATGATCAACGTTTTGAATTTTATGTAGATATCCTCTGCTCTCTCGAAATCCTTAGGAAAATCCAGTTCAAACCGAAAATTGTCTTGATTATGGACACTGTATGTGCTCTTGATCTGACATTCTGATTTTTCGAAAACTTTGACATTTGAGAAAGTAACAAAGGTTGAAATGATGGTCATGAAAATTGCTACAGATAGATTGAGATGACAACGAGTGAAGGTAATTTGTATCTGCAAGGTGCATTCGTAATGATTGGTCAGTGGCCGTCTGCAGTACGGTGCACCCCACAGTGGTTATTCTCTTTGAGTACAGCTTGATCGTTGTTTGAGGGATTACATCTGAAAGATTACTGATTCGATAATCAGTGAAATTGGTTTAGCGGAATTGGCCTTAAGCACAAAAACGGTGTTGTCGGCCACTACCTAGGCTATTTACACGTGGACTAATAACAATTATAATGGCAACAATGATCGAGTCAAGTTATGAAGTGAGGATAGGTGTGACTGCTGCAAATCATCTCAACCACTTATCAATCACTGCGATCAGCATCATCTAATCAAATGTCTCAATCTTCGATAAATAAATCAACTACTAAAATGACATAATGAATGAATCGCTCTCAGATTATTGTGCAATGAACCTTCTTCTTTCAATTAGAATACTCATATCCTCCACCCACAGCAATTCGCTCAGTGAGTGGCCTTCAATGGCACATTTTGACGTCAAACTCAACTTATACGCAATTTGTTCAGCACTTGTTGAGTGTTTTTCAGATTTATCACTCCTTTAAATTGTGAGTTCCTCCATTAGTGATGTGATTAATTATTGTTTGGTACCGTTTTAATGTAAATTTAGTTTGAAAACTGTTCGAATTAGGTCTGGAATGTGTGCTCAGATAGTGCAATCTCATCCTTATCCTCATAGTGCAATCTCATGACATCGTTATTCGAAGTATGGTTTCCTAGAGCTTATTGTAAAAACTACAATAGGTTTTCACTTCCTCAATTCCTTAATGATAACAAATACTTCATATGCCTACGATTTGATCTGGTGATGAATAGCGCAATTAGAGTCAATCAGGCGTAAGCGCTTGAATATTTCATGAATTTCGAAGATCTGATCGCGAATCACACCTTTCTTAAACACTAAACACCTGCCGCTTACTATATTTCACCTGTGCAACATTATCGCATCAATTGTTCCTTATGATGCATTGAAGAGGCATTATTGCATTTTCTCAGAATGACTGAAAAATTATTTCCTCTTCCGCCTAATATTCGATCCATTTGAACGGCATTTCCCTCTGATTTCATGCAGTCTAATTTCATCGACCATTTTCTTTTTTTTAAAAGAATCTAACCTTGAAATTTCAGTAGAATGAAAACGCAACAATCGTGGGGATCAAGTTTATTTGGACTATTGATCAAACTAGCAACGTGTACAAATGTGGTTGCGTCACATCCAGCATTTTGGGTTAGCACTGAATTGGTTGGTGTGGAATGGAAACAAGGATGTCAATCAACTGGTGCATGTGCTGAACCAATCTTTCGGATTACGCAACGAAATGTTATCAATAACGAAAAAATTTCAAAAAGTTGGAAAGTACTGAAGGATTTCGAAAAGGTATCGTCACTTTATTCTTCAGTTCCTTCAAATTTTTACTGCTGCGAGAAATTCTCGTTCCTTGGTCGTTATCAAGTATCCCAAAATATCTCTGCTAGAATATTGAACGTTCTCGTTTTCTACAATGCGTTGCACTAAATGCTCTCACCGTGATACCACTAATCTCATTATTACAATTCGAATAATGTCATGTTCGCATGATCCAAATATTCACGAATGGAATCATAATTGATATAGCTGCCGGTTCCTCATTGATATCAACTCTCATACTGCATTTTTCGATTCAAGTAGTCATTTGACCATACGTATGGAAATTCTTTAGAGATAGCATCTATGAATTCATGGAATGAGCCATTAACTCACTGAAGACACGGTAGGAAATTTGATGGCCAACATACACTTACATTAAATAAAGACATCATTACCAAAAGAACATTTCAAATTCAAAAGTAAACACAAAAACTTGATTTTCTATTCACATCAAGCATTCGAACTATTCAATCATTTATTGCCCACTTAAAGAACACTTAAACTTTTCACTCGACGAATCATTGTTTTGATGCATTCGCGAGGGAAATCGACCTTATTTGAGGCAATGAACCGTTCACGATGAACATGCGATATGTGAACGAAATTGAGCTAAAAGGTTATTGGATCGTTTTCCTCTAAATGTCGTCACATTCAATCGAATAGGCGTATTTCATTTTTTCCCAATTAAAACGTCACTCATTTGAACACATCTCTATTTTTGAAGTGATTCGATTTTACGGAGACAATCAACGCACACGAATGAAACTGCATAAGT